GCTACTTGGAAGGCTGAGGTGGAAGGATCGCCGGAGCCCAGCAGGTCGAGGCTGCTGTGGCCGGGAGCAGCCACTGCACTCCAGTCTGGGTGACAGAGTGAGACTCCAACTCAAAAAAAAGAAAAAAAAAATAGAATACGGCAGTTGATTCTTTAAAAGAAAATAATGCCTGTTGCTTATATATTTTTGCTTATGAAAAATTATCTGCAGCCGGGCTCGGTGGCTCATCCTGTAATCCCGTGCTTTTGGGAGGCTGAGGTGAGTGGATTGCCTGAGCCTGCGGGTTCGAGACCTGCCTGGGCAGGCGAGACCTCATCTCTACAATAAATCAAAAAAAAAAAAATTATCTGCAATTTTAAAAGAGCAGTTTTTTTAGTGCATTCTATGCTTTTTTTTTTTACTCTCCTCCAAGTTATTGCTTTAGACATGAAATTGTTTACAATAAACATGTTAATTTATCACATGCTGTTCCTTGATGTATTTCTATAAAGTAAAGGTTCCACTTTAATTCCGGGATGGTTATTCCACATGACTCTTTTTTTCTTCCCCTCTAGACTTCTCCAGAGAACCCTGGGACAGTAGGTGGAGTGCAAAACTGTATTGTGTTGCCTTCCTGCTTTTTTTGTTGCCTTCCTGCTTTTTTTATTATTATTCTTGGCCCCCGCCTTGGCTGCTCCTTTCTCTGCCATTAAAGCTCACTAACTAAACCCTGCATGTGTGGTCATTATGAGGGGCTCATAGCCTTTCATTTCAATCCTGCACATGTATCATGTCAGTTATGTTTCATGTCAAATCCTTAATATTAGGATTCCTCTAAAGCAATACTGTGACAGGCAAATTGGAATCTCACCTCTATCTTCTGGGGGGAAAAATTCCCTCTATTTTAATACACTCCCTTTCTAATGCCTCCATCCTATACAGTAAGCACTTCCTAGTGCTCCAAAACTACCGAGGGTCCTTTTTTGTGAAGGGAGAAAATAATCTGATAAACAGATGCAAGTAAAGTGTGAACACTTAATTTTTTACCCCTCCCTGAATGATTTTTATATCCTGAAAAGGGCAGGGAGAGGACAATGTTTAGCAGAGAAAATGACTCACTCACTAGTGGTAGAATTCCCTGCTTCAGTGAGGCAAAATCACATGCATTTGGTAAGACAGCCACATTTTGTATATTTGTGCCTTTAAGAAATTTTGAGCTGGTTGTGATCATTTCACCAAATTTTGTCCTAAAATGATGTCTGCTTGGTTTGGTTCCTTTTCCTACTTAGTAATTTATCTGTTGTGGATTTTGATGTTTGGTGTCCATGTGATGTCAAGGAGTCTGTCTGCATGATTGTTTATCATCCATCTGATCCTTTCCAACTACCACAGGAAGAGAGGGGAAGGGACATTTTCAAGATTATGCTGAAATAATAAATTGGCAGTTCTTTCCCTTCTCTCTATATAACAGAAGAAGCAGGCCAGCCCACTGCAGACCCAGGCATGGTCATGGACAGTGTGGAAGCAGGAGACACAACACCTCCCACCAAAAGGAAGAGCAAGTTTTCAGGCTTTGGCAAGATCTTCAAACCCTGGAAATGGAGGAAAAAAAAAAGTAGTGATAAATTCAAAGAGACTTCAGAAGGTAAGATATTGGGGTTTAAATATGTTTTCTGAGTTAGAATTTCCTATAAGTACCTAATTTTTTCATTCTCTTTCAAAGCTTCTATAATATTCTATTTGAAGAGGGAGTTTAATCTTGTAGAATTAGGCAACCAAGTAGTCTTTCACTAAATCTTACATTCTATAGCCTCACTCCCAGATTTTATTTTGATGAGATTAAAGTGTTGAGGGGTGAATGAAGTTTCTGAATTGTAGCAAATCTAAGATTCTTATTTTTTTTCTACTCTGCCCATTCACACAAAGTTCATCCATAGATACCTTATTGTTGAAATTGCAATTAAGCTACAATAATGTAATACTAGTTTTTTTGAAAATGATACTTTTCCAGCAGGTTATGAAAGAAATTTAAGTTTTTGACTAGGCACAGTGGCTCACACCTATAATCCCAACACTTTGAGAGGCCAAGGCAAGAGGATTGCTGAGACCAGTTTAAGACCAGCCCAGGCAACATAGTGAGACCACTATCTCTATACAAACGTTTTTATTTTTTACTTAGCTGTCATGGTAATATGCTCCTGTAGTCACAGGTATTGGAAGGCTGAGACTGGAGAATGGTATGAGTCTAGGAATTCAAGTCTGTAGTGAGCTATGTTTATACTCCTACACTCTGTTTTGGGCAACAGAGAAGATCTATCACTAAAAGAAAAAGAAATTTAAGTTTTTAAACAGAAGTTAGTTTCTCTTATTTTCTTTCCTAAGAATAGAAATTTGAACCACTTTATTCTTTCACCTGTGGAGTTAGAATGCTAAAACTAATGTTACCTGGGTGCAGTAGCTCACCCTGTAATCCCAGCTCTCTGGTAGGCCGACACGTGCCTGAGTTCAGGGGTTGGAGACCAGCCTGGGCAACTTGGCAAGACCTTGTCTCCACACTAAATCAAAAAATTAGCCGGCCATAGTGGTGCACGCCTTTGGTTCCAGTTACTTAGAAGGTTAAGGCGGAAGGATTGCCTGAGCCCAGCAGGTTGGAGGCTGCAGTGGCAGTGAATATGCCGCTACGCTCCAGCCTGGGTGACATAGTCAGATTCTGACTCAAAAATAAATAGATAAATAAGTAATGTTGACCTTCAACTGTCACATTTCTGAGTGCTATTTTCTGATTTAATTTCAGTTTTAGAGCGAAAAATATCTATGAGAAAACCAAGAGAAGAGTTGGTTAAGAAAGGGGTTCTATTGGAAGACTCTGAGCAGGGTGAGTTTACAAATGATCTGCCTGTCTCTGTACACTTGGTCTTTGATTGGGTCTAACTAGGTATTTGAATTTTCTTTCTTTCTTGTTTTTACTGTTGTTGGGCTGAAGATCGAGCTTTAAAAAAAAAAATGTTTTCCGGATGCGGTGGCTTACACCTATAATCCCAGCACTTTGGGAGGCCGAGGTTGAGAGGATTGTCTGAGCCTACGGGTTGGACACTAGCCTGGGCAACTTGGTGAGACCTCATCTTTACAATAAATTTTTTAAAAGTAGCCAGGCATTGTGGCACGCACCTGTAGTTCCAGCTACTTGGAAGGCTGAGGTGGAAGGTTTACCTGAGCCCAGCAGATCGAGGCTGTGGTGGCTGTGGTCATGCCACTGTACTCCAGCCTGGGTGAGAGAGTGAGACTTCAACTAAAAAAAAATTTTTTTTCACCCTTCCTTCCAGGTGTCTGGCTGTGGTCTTTAATTCTGAAATTGAGTGGTTGGTGAAGAATCCTTGAGGTCAACATTCCTTGTCTTTCTGTACATCCTCCACTTTGTGCCAGCTACAATCCTGTTTCATTTCCCCTTTTTGACCAAATTTGTCTCCATGCCCATATCACTGCCCTAATCATTTTGATTGTCTGACACAAAGATCATGTCTTATCATTTCAACACTTATTGCTTGTTTAATAATATCAAAACCTTCTCCATTGTGTGACATTTATGAAGCAGGTTATCATAAATATAAAATCTATAGTACATTGGTTGCATTTCATTTCTCTTCATTTGGGTTATGTTGCATGAGACAAAATCTGAAAGTATTCACATAATTAAATTATCTATACTGAAGATTTGTTATCTCAACTATAAGAACTAATTAGAGAAAACAAGCTTGAAGAAGCAATTCAAAAATGTTATTACCATTGGTTATCTCTGGAGGTTGAGAAGGGACTATGATCTTTTTCTCATATTTTTGCTACATGATTAGTTATGAGCATGTATAAATTTTGATTTTTTTTTTTGGAGTTGGAGTCTCACTTCGTCGCCCAGACTGGAGTGCAGTGGCCGCTGACAGCCACTGCAGCCTCGACCTGCTGGGCTCCGGCCATCCTTCCGCCTCAGCCTTCCGAGTAGCTGGAACTACAGGCGCGCACTACCACACCCGGCTCGTTTTGATTTATTGTAGAGATGAGGTCTCGCCAAGTTGCCCAGGCGGGTCTCGAACCCACGGGCTCAGGCAATCCACTCACCTCAGCCTCCCAAAGGCGCAGGATTACAGGCTGAGCCACTGAGCCCAGCTTCTAAGTATAATTATAATGCCTTCATTGTGGTACCTCTTTGGCCCTTGCTTTGGTGATATAGCTTTTTCTCTCCCCATGCCCTATCCTTTCTCTCATCTTTTGCTCATTCATCACAAACCCCATACATTACTTTCTTATTTTTCACAGTCATTCATTCTTTTGCCCTGTGCTTCCTTTTGGCTCCTAATCCCAGTTATTTTTAGCCTCCAGTTTCAAAAGACCAGTTGATAAATGAGATGCCCCTCTGCCAACCAGAGAACTGACCCTAAGCTCTATTCTGTCAAAATCACAGGACTAGGTCTTGGGCCTAGCTTTTTTTTTGGTTTTTTTTTTCTTTTTTAACTTAGTGTCTCACTCTATCACCCAGGCTAGAGTGCAGTGGCATGCTCATGGCCACTGCAGCCTCCACCTGCTGGGCTAATGTGATCCTTCTGCCTGGGCTAATGTGATCCTTCTGCCTGAGCCTTCCAAGTAGCTGGAACCACAGGCACACACCACCACGCCTGGCTAATTTTTTTATTTATTATAGAGATGAGGTCTCCCCAAGTTGCCCAGGCTGGTTGTGAACCTGTGAGCTCAGGTAATCCTCTTACCTTGGCCTCCCAAAGTGCTGGGATTATAGGCATGAGCCACGGCGCCTGACCTTTTTTTTTGAGTTGAATTCTCACTCTGTCACCAAGGCCACCGCAGCCTTGACCTGCTGGGCTCAGGCGATCCTTCCACCTCAGCCTTCCAAGTAACTGGAACTACATGTGTGTGCCACCATACCTGGCTGATTTACTTTAGAGAGGAGGTCTCACCAAGTTGCCTAGGCTGGTTTCGAACCCTTGTACTCAGGCAATCCTCTCACCGGCCTCCCAAAGTGCTGGGATTATAGGCTTGAGCTACCACACCCAGCTGAGTTTAAATCTACACTTTAGGCCAAAAGCAGTGTTTGAACCTTGAAATCGTCTTCATACTCAAAGATGGCTTTTGGCATGATTATGGTTCTAACTGGACTATACTATAAAATTTTTAATAGGTTTTCTGAGTTGGAAGGAACATTTGATTATTTTAAGACCCAATGGTACTACTACACTCTGTTAGCATTGCAGAAACTCTCTGCATTAAATATAAGAACTGATACTTCAAAGTAGACATTCTTGATTAAGTAACTGAGATAACTGATCACTTTTGCATATAGTTTACTAATATGTGCTAAGTAGAAGCTGATTAACAATGTGTTTTAGATTTTCACTATATGGTTTTCACACATAGTAGTCTTTGTTAGCTTCAAAATTATTGCTTTATATCCTAGAAAATTCTGTTTTTGATAAAACTGGGTTATATTAACATGAGCAATAACTTACTATTTTTGCTGAGTTATTGTCATCTTGTCTCCTCCCTTTTTAAAAAATAAATAGTTAGCCAGGCTCGGTGGCTCAGCCTGTAATCCGCACTTTGGGAGGTTGAGGTGAGTGAATTGCCTGAGCCCGTGGGTTTGAGACCCACCTGGGCAACTTGGCAAGACCTCATCTCTACAATAAATCAAAAAATTAGCCGGGCGTGGTAGCACGCGCCTGTAGTTCCAGCTACTTGGAAGGCTGAGGCGGAAGGATCGCCAGAGCCCAGCAGGTCAAGGCTGAGGAGGCCGGGAGTGGCCAGTGCACTCCAGTCTGGGTGACAGAGTGAGACTCCAACTCAAAATAAAATAAAATAAAATAAATAGTTATCAGATTATTTTAGCTTTAGAAGTACTTCCCTTAAACTCTTCATTATTTTTAGCCTAAAATCCACCTCTTACTGGACTTCATGAAGAATGGTATTGTCTAATCTGTCGTAGTAGATGGTGAGTCAGGGATGAGAGGGACAGTTTTATGAGAACTTAATGGACTAACTCTGGAGACACTAAAATATTACCAAAAGTGTCTCACTATGAAAAGCAAAGAAGGAGCTGGGCTCGGTGGCTCAACCTGTAATCCCACGCTTTGGGAGGCTGAGGTGAGTGGATTGCCTGAGCCCGCGGATTCAAGACCCGCCTGGGCAACTTGGTGAGACCTCATCTCTACAATAAATCAAAAAATTAGCTGGGTGTAGTAGTGCACGCCTGTAGTTCCAGCTATTTGGAAGACTGAGACAGATAGATTGCTGGAGCCCAGCAGGCCGAGGCTGCAGTGGCCGGAGCAGCCACTGCACTCCAGTCTGGACGACAGAGACTGCAACTCAAAAGAAAAAGAAAAGAAAGATACCATTAAAGAGCAGCTAGTTCCAGTCTCGATGACACTAGGAAGTGAGACAGTTTTTGGTCTCCACCCAACGTTTTCAGTTCTTTCTCCCCAAATAATCTAGGAGCCCTCAGCTAAAAGTTTGTCTAATTGTTTCATGAAGGAATCTCATCTGTGATTTTCTTTTTCTTTTTTTTTTCCTTTCTTTCTTTCTTTTTTTTTTTTTTTTGAGTTGGAGTCTCACTCGGTCGCCCAGACTGGAGTGCAGTGGCCGCTCCCGGCCACCGCAGCCCCGCCTGCTGGGCTCCAGCGATCCTTCCCT